AAAGCTGGCAGGATTTTCAATCATCAATGTGTGCATTTAATAAATACAGCAATTTTTAGCATTATAAACTTCTTGAATAACGTTTTAGTTTCGAAATTGGGTGGAGAACCTTTGCTGTTGAAAGAATATTTGAAAATACCTGTAGATCCAAAATGTTATGAAAATGTTTGCACATACTGCATATCAATTTTTAAATAATTTCAGGTCTAGTAAAATATGTGCTTTTTGTACCTCTCCGTAGGTGGGGTGCAACTTTTTTCAGGACATGAGAATTATTCCGTACCCAAGGTACGGACAAAGAATCCTACAATGACAATAATGTGTCTCTTCTGTGGCTTTCATTTGCTTCAATTAATTGGAAATTATGCACTGTACCTGTATGTCCTCAACGTCAACGAAATACAGTATAGTCGCTCATTACTACAATATTGATTCATATTGAACACATTTAAATATATATTTTTTTATTTTTTGGTGCTACATACTCTCGGAACGTGTCAGTTAGCCAAAGTGGATGCCGTTCAGCTGCTCGTTCAAGTGTGAGGGATAAATGTGACACCCACGCCGTGGCTGCTCACATTGTGCTGAAACCCCCGCAGCAGGTTTCGCCGGGGCACCGATTTGAATAATGGGTCCGCGAACAGGGATTCGGGCACGGGTTCGTGGTGTGGAAAAACTCAGCCCATATAGGACCTTTTATTTCTCTTCTTCGTATGTTTCGGACATTTCGAGCTTCAGTGGTCCCTTCGTCACGCCTCGTAATCGACCTGATTTTGTCAAGCACGATAATAAAGGCACACGACATATGGGAGGATTCTGTTCCAGATCGACACCGGAAAAAGATGCATGTCCTGCTTCCGGGGAACAAATCGCTGAACCATCCAAAGAAATGCACGTTAAACAGCGTGCCTCGAATTGGATATCGATGTGCTCTGTGCCAGAAATAAATTAATTTCTCGAATGAATAATGTCCTTTATACAGTATTTTTTTATTACTGTTGAGCTGTTGATTGAATGACAAGTGCGATTGTCTGAAACTTTTAATGTCGGCAGTAGCAAAGGTTTTCAGCCTGATTAAAACAACGAAAACGTTCCAAAAGTTGGGAATAATGTTGAGAAGTATTCATGAAGTGTGTAAGTCATTGAGAATCGTGCAAACTTCTTCGAATCACTCGGGATCAGCAGATGATACTGTATGACAAGAAATACCGCCTGAGGTGATATGTTTAAATTGTTCAGATATTTGCTAATTATTGCGTTTTAATTTTTCGACTCGCTGACATATTTTTGCTGCATCAGTCATTGTCGGGGAAATCTTCAGAATCTTTTTTCAGCAAAGGTACATCTTCAAATACTGTGCAGTATTTGAAACCGTGGGAAATTTGCGAGAAGCTTTCAAATCCCGTTTCCCGCCTCGTACTTTGAAAGCTACGAAATGACTAGGAAGTGATATTTGATCCGAATTTTTTTTTTTTCAAAAACATGGTACCTTTGGGACACAACAAGGGGTCATTTTTATAATTGATTTGTTTTGTCTGAGACCGCGCAGAAATGAATTTCTATGACGACACCCTTGAAGCATATCCTAAATTTTTCAGACGACGTATTTGATCTAACAACGGTCAACGCAAGGATATTTCAGAAATTACTTCGCCCTCCTTGGAATATAGACGCTATAGATACGTTTTGTGAATTGTTTGCGAACCTTTCGTGTTTTTTACTCAATCTATCGCACGATAATAAATACCCTATCATGTTTTGTGCCTAGATGATTGAAATGCAGTCCTCTCGTTCTCAGCACAAAATTTCCAGACTGATCGCAAAATATATTTTTTGCGGACATGGATTTGTCGGTCAATTCTTAATGTGTGCTTCGAAACATGTGTGTTGAATCTATAAGCGATGATTATAGCGGGCTGCTATGTGTGCATTGAAGTGTGTTAATATCATTGTGTTATAGGATCCGGTCTTTCCGGAATCAGATTTTCGAGTCATGAAACGCTTGTCAATCAAGAGCCATTGAGGGTCGTTACCCCGGATCGAATCGTGAGGGTCCTCTGCAAACTGTTATTCAGAACACTAATCGTTGAATTTTGAAAGGAAAATGTTTTAATTACAGACTAACGTTGGAGTCAATCACAAATATTAGCACACGGAAGACTTTGTCGCTTTTATCCGATGACGATCCTAATTTCGCAACATAATGACTCGGCGACGCGAATCAGTAATAACGCTCTAATCAAGCTTAAAAAAAATACTTTTACTGTTTTTCTGGAGTTCGTATTTTCATCAAATGGTCGGATATACTGTATATATACGAGTACTTTGGCCATATTAGAAGAAATCAAGGTTACAAAACTCACGAACGGTTTCCTGAACTGATCCGGCAGGCAAAAATTCTGCATTAAAAACGCTCGCTCGAATAAAAACTCTCGCTTGCAAATAATTTTATACGACCATTTAATGACTTTAATGATGAAAAATAGTCTCACATTTTCATCAGTTTAAAAACAAATCCGTCGCAATCATCCAAGAGGTTTCTTTCAGTAAGTACTCGGTACGTATTTACCACTACACTTGAATTTTCTGAAAAGACCAAAAAACGGCATTATTTCTTGATCACAGCAGACACCATTTAGAAAAAGTCCCTGTGTTCTTCCCAATTTTTAATTATTCGAAAAACTACTAAAGGTCTCTGCATCTGTTTTCCTGTTCGCAAAATAAAAGCGGTTCATCCAGTTTTTTTTTTCATGTCGAAATATGAACTTCCTCTTCAACAAAGCGCTATTATTTGAAGTTTCAAATGCAAAATTTCTACTGCTGCTCCAAATTAGTTGACGAGTATAAAACAAGATCCATTTACAAGAGCCAAATGCTGCGAATCCATCATTCAACCAAGCATAGCTACTTGAAATTTACGAAAGCTTCTCGGAAACTGTCAATTTAATATGAGGTAATGTACCGAAGAGAACGAAATTGCAGATTTCGGTAGTTAACTGATGCGATATCGTCACCAGCAGTTGACTTCATGTCCCCTGGCGACCCCGCAGCTGACTTGAGCTGCTTGTGACGCGAATGAATTAGTCCCTAGTGGGCGAATGTTGCCAGGGATGAGGAAAAACGCTCAGCAACTTAACGAACGGGGCCGAAAATGGGGGATGAAATAGAAGGAAAAACAGGGTCGTGTGAAAACACGCAAATGAAATAAGCGAAAAGCGGAAAAGCGCGGATTGACGTCGCGTGTCATCAAGATCGTTTTTCTCCGCTAACCCCCCAAAGGAAAACATAAGAAAAAGAAAATAAAACCCCCGGGAGCTTTTTATAATCATGTGTATCTACACTATACCGAATAGTTTTTCTATTTGCTCCTGTCCTTTTTCTTTTTCAACTTTCCCTCGCTGGCTGTCCCAAGCATCTCGTAGACTAAACTGATGATGAGTTTTCCGCCCCGTTGGAGTTTCATGCTGCCAGGAAATGTGCCAAAAGGTGACAGATTAGAACTCTCCTGCATTTTAGACTGATTTGGTCCCTCTGTTCAATTGCATCTTTGTATGGATCAAGTTGAATTTGTCTAAAAAAAAAGTTGATAATAAAGAAAAAATACGTGATTTGAAAAAAATCTCGACGCAAAGAAGTCGAAGATGGGCAATGAAAAATTCGTTCCTGCTTCTGATAATCCAACTCATTAACAAAATTATAAATGATAATTCATTTTATTTTATTTTATTGTTTATAGTTGCGAGTTAACACAAAATTCCTGCAAAAAGGACTCAATTCAAGCATCAGACTAGTCAGTTGTGTAAAAAGTCTGTTATGCAAATTCAATTATTAAAGAATTAAATTTTTAAACTTTTTATCATTAATTTTAAACCAACAAAAGCCTGTTTTACAGATTTAATCCATTGCATGGGAAGGAAAACCGAAAGAGGCAAAACCTCCTGTTGGCAAAAATCCATTGCGAGGGAAGTCTGTTGTGCAGAGGTTACTTGTATTTTCATCCTTGTATGCTGTTCTTATGTTCGGTTTTTATTTTGTACACCTTTTTTTCAATTCCATGTCATTTATCAACCCTACTTTGCTTGAAAAAAATTTTTTCTACATTGTGAAAGTTTTATTACCATCAGCAGGTCCAGCTGGTGAAATTTCTATGAATATCTTTATGCACCAAGCTATTTCAGGAAAAGAAAAAAATTTTTGCTCGCATTTTCAAGAAAAATCCCTCATTTTGGACAGAAAACATATCTTCATGAGTGCTGTATATTATTCAGTGTATGCTGCTGAAGTACTGAGACACACTTATCACGAATTTCAATTAATTCTTCGCTGAATTACATGAATAAAGACCATCTTGATGCTTTTCAACTGATTTCAATTCACTGCGTAATTTTTAAGTCAAAAGTGTTGTGTTGCTCCTCATCAACAAATGATTTTTTTTCTTTTATCCCAACATTTTCATTTCTTTTTACTTCTGGAATCGGTCCTGACTGTTGCTGAGGCTTTCAGTAAATATTTTTTTGGTCCACACTTTCGAGCAAACACGTAGAACATCATTGAAATATTCTAATTTTTCTCTCCCTCGAGTAATTCAAATATTGTTGCTTATATTCAACCCCTAGACAAACATCAGATGCGGTTATACAATCAGCACGGTGAATATTAATTCATTAATTCATCCTGACTTTTCATTCAAAAATTTCACATTTTAGAAGATTTTTTTTACGAATTTATACTGCATAAGAAGTCGGATCAAATGGGCATCCTGAACCATCTATGTCTCTTTACCGTACAGTATTTTAATCTGACATTACTGTGCTGTATATACAATACTTTTCAGGCAACAACTGTTTGTCGGTAGTTAATCTCGAAATTTAAAGCAGTTTCTTCTTTCACGAGACAGTGCCTCGTCTGTATTTTTCTGTGATTCTCACACTCCAGTTTTCCGACTCTAACAGAAATATTTTCTCACGAAAGCGAGATCAAGTTCCAATGTTTACGAAATCGTTGAATTCGTATCGCCGACAACCACCGCTTCCTGGACGAAACTGTTGGCGAGAGGAAGTTCGCGTTATTTTTTCCGGAAAACCGAAGTTCGTCGAAGTTTATATATATTTTTGGCTGCCTGTACTCGTGCATCCAAGCTTGATGTGAAATGCTGAGTGCAATTTCGTTGGGGATGATGGCCAGATATTTTGTCAAACGGAAAACAATGGCAATCAGTGTCGGTATCCTATTGAGCCTTTTCGTCCTGTCCTTGTTTCTACCAAAAGCGAAAAAGTTCTTGCCCGGACTTTTTGTGATGAAGAAACATTCAGGCGGTGCAGGACCAGAAAATTTCGATGTTTACCCCAGTGAAACGTTGAGTGCATCGCTTATGCTTATCTGAATTTTAAAATGTATGTTGAAGGGATTTTTTCCATCGGACTTCAAACTTGCGAAATTTTTGATGAGCAGTGGCATTTTTCCTCGCGCCGGTTACGAAAATTCTTGTGGAATGTGCACTTGAAAAACAATATCTGTGTAGAACGAGTCATTTTAGACAGAACAGAATTTTCTAAGAATTATGAAGCTGCGCTGATGTTTTTGTGAAGCAGTGATACTATTCAGACGCTGGTCCAATTTTTCTGACGAAAATGCACTAAGAACTGTGCCACCAACACCAAGCTACAGTTTTAAGTTTAATGAAGTTAACAATTTTCTCTAAAATTCTGTCCGATCATGATGCCAGTATTGGCAGCATGACGAAATGAGTGGTTGTCTTAATTACTAACGTACTCAATTATGTTTAGTGCCCTTGAAAATGAATCAAACCCTGATTTTTGAAGACAAAATGCACAAGGGTTGTTCCAACAGTACGTAATCGCAGACATTTTTAGAGTAGATCTGTTTAAAAAAAGTTTAAAAATAGTTAACATGATTTTTTAGAGCAGTGTTTCCCAATCCGTGGTCCGCGGACCGGCGCCGGTCCGCAGAAGTTTTTTGCTGGTCCGCAGGAAATTTTTAGAGCGGTTGTACATACACTATATACATCAGTGTTCCCCAACCTTTTTGGTCCCGCGTACCAGCAAATGTCCATGAAAATTTTTGTGGACCGGCGAAGTTTCATCGAATTTTCTGAGGACCAGCAAATTTTCATAAATTTTTTCATGCTTAAAACAGTTTTGCTTGGAAGACAGCTTGCATGGCAGGTATTTGAAAAGCTTCTGCTTTTTTTGCAAAAATTAAGTCAAGAACCAATTAAGCTATGGTGGAATGTTTTCAAAAAAATGAAACGGTGGGTTTGAATAAAAGTTCTTCAGACTCGAAAATTAAATAATTTTTTAAATCAGGTTAAAATTTGTCAGAAGTATCATTATATGAGAAATGCCAAGATATATTTTTCATGAGATAATTTCAACTGCCATTATCTTGCTAAAATTTAAGATAAAGATGCTGTAACGTCCTTCATTGCTACTTTCAAAAAATTTGTTCGCCTGAAAAAATTTCCCGCGGACCGACAAAAAACTTCTGCGGACCGGCGCCGGTCCGTGGGTTGGGGAACACTGCTATGTAGTGTATATACAACCGCAGTGATAATACATTTTCCTTTCATCAGCGCCGCTTATCGAGATAACACTGACTTTATAGTGACTAAACTCAGCATTAAATTATCGTTCCCTAAAACAGAAAGGGAGACGAACAGCTGAGAGTCCCATGGACGTGGGAATGCAAACACATGGCGTCCTTCCGCACACCGGGCATGTACTGCATCCGGGAACTAACGTCCAGCTTTGCAGAAGCCAGCAGTTTCCAGGAATGCAGTCTGACATGCACCGAAGGCAGGTCATTCTGGCCACTGCCCCGGAACATCACGCACCTGGGCACCACTGTGGTGGAATTCTCGCCAAACAAAGTCGCCCTTTCCGTGGACACAGACTCTGTGTCGGACCAGGATCACAGAGTGGATGTTGTGCGTCATTACCTCAGGACTGCGGGGAAGTTGTTTTTGAAGGACGTGAAGCGGTACGATGTGCGCAGGAAGCTGATAAGAAAGAAATTACCGGTGGTTGTACAAATTACCCTAGCGGTGAATTCGGCAATCGTCCACTTGGGTCTCGGGGTGGACGAATCGTATTCCTTGAGCGTGAGCCGTCAGGGTGACCGCGTCCGAGTGAAGATAGATGCCGCCACTGTCTATGGTGCCCGTCACGGACTCGAGACCCTCTCTCAGGTCAGGTAGAATAATAATAATAAGCATATCTACATGAATGTGTTCAGTGAGTAGCAACAAATTCAGTTTGTCGGCTACCTCTTTGAGTTGATGAAGGTAACAGTTTACAAATAGCAGACTGATTGAGCTGTGCATTAATTTTTACTGTTTCTAGAGTTATGAACCTCAATAGCTCAGAACTCCTGACCATATCCCAAGTGGGGAGCTATTCTTTGTGTGACCACACAAATGGTGCACACTGGGGTCCCAATTGGTGTACATGGGCTATTGTGTGGTTACAAGCATGCATCTCTGTAGACAAAATTTTGCTACAATTCCTGGGCTACATTTGGTGCACAAATGTGACATGACAGGAGTATCACACAAATGCACCAACTGTAACCTTGATGTAACGTATCTGTTTACAAATGTGACCCCAAGTAATCTTGGTGTGAACATACAATTGGTGCACATTAGGGATATGCATGTGCAACAGAGAAACACTTCAAGTGGACAGCAGGGTCACTGTGTAGAATTACAAACATATCCCCAGTGTGCACCAATTTCCCCACTGGGGTAGGTCAAGTATATCTCAAAGTGAATTTAGCAAATTTTCTTGAATTTTTGTCTGACTTGCGTTAAAAGCAATGTATCAAAATCCTCCATAATTTGAATGCTTTCCCCATTCATATATCCAAAACTGAAATTAAGTGGAGATCTTTTTGCTACTACTTTCTTGACACAGAAGGTAAGAGAAAAGTGAATAAAAATTTAACTCAATGCAATTGGAATGAAACTGAAAGACTAATTGGGGGAATGCAGATTTCATTCCAAGTTCAGATCCTGTCAACTCATTTAAAAAGTAATTAAAGGTCCAGAATACCACCAATTACAATTTCTTTCAATTCTTTGGCTTCTTTTCAAACAACAAAAATGTTTATATCCCCCTATAACTCGAATTTGTTTTTCTGGTCCCTTGGAGATCGAATTGAAGAGGTTTGCTGATGTAAACGTTCCTGAATAATCAATCCAAGAATATAATTCTATCACCTATGAAATAACTCGAATCATCACCAAGTTTAAATTGTTACTGATGCATTTCACGTATGACTCATCAATGTTAAAACAATGTATGCGTAGATACCAATCTGGGATTCGAACAGGTGTCGCATCTATTCCGCTGTGTTCGGGTCGCAAAATCCCTTCCGATTTCGCGCAATCGATCGACGACGACTTTCAGAATTCTAAAACGTTGTTGTCTTTTCAACTTGCCATATTTATGATTCTCTCAGGTGATGGATTACGATCCCTACAGGCAAGCCTTTATAATGCTGGACTCCGTCCAATTAACCGACCGTCCAAGTTTTCCATACCGAGGTCTGATGATTGACACGGCAAGAACTTTTATTCCGGTCCCGACCCTCAAATCCGTGGTCGACGCCATGTCGTGGAACAAGATGAACGTCCTGCACTTACACCTCACAGACTCACAGAACTTCCCGCTCGACTTGGCAAATGTGGAACAACTCGCGGATTTTTCTGCCTATTCGGCCACCGACGGGGTTTACGAAGTGACGGAATTGAGTCAATTGGTGGCCTATGCTAAACTTCGCGGGGTCAAAGTCGTTCCTGAGGTCGACGCTCCGGGTCATGTGGGCAGTGGCTGGGAATGGTCCGGGGACGCCATTTTATGCAACAACTTGTTGCACCAGGGTTCTTGGACTTCCTACTGTGTAGAGCCACCGTGCGGCTTTTTGAATCCGGCTAGCAAAATGATGTTTCGAGTAAGACTCCATTTCTTCGTTACAATTACGAGTATATTCCAGAAACAGGATATTGTTTGTTTGGAAAAATATGCAATATGTCGTAGTTTAGATTTTGTTAGGAAGGACAGATTTTTAATATCACAATTTTTTGGAATGTATGAGAATCGCACTATTCTTTGGCTGAAAAACACAGAAACATTTGACAATCACTAAAGTTTAAAAGCAACTGTAGGGATGAAGTGCCAAATTTAGGAAAGAAATATACCTTTCTGTCCCTTTGAGACGAGGCAACATATGTAGTCTTGAATAGGGCATGTTGAATGCATTTTATTTCAGGTACTGTACTAATTGGAAAATTGTCAAATTTCCCAAAAGTTTCCCTCACAAACTAGGCGGAAAATGCTTCACCGCAGTTCAAGTCGATTTGATTGAACTTCGGCGAGGAAAGAGCTTGGTTAAAAGTTGAGGGAAATACTGGACTGTGAAAAATAAGATAAGTAAATGAAAAAAATGTTGGTGCTCTCTTTATCATCCCTTTTATTTGGGCCAAATCAAGCAAAAGCCACAGAAGATGCGTTTTAAAGCTGCAAAAAAAAGCAGTACGAAAAGCACAGAAGTACCTTTTTGATGTAAGGACAAAGAGAGGAACACTAATTTTTTTCACTCCAGACGACAAACTCAAATTTCTAGAAGACTTTGGGCTATTATTCTGGGGATGCAGGAAAGAGATTATTAAAAAGTGGAACTTAATGAATTTCAAATGGAAGTGGGTGAAAATTTGGGCAAATTTACCTTAAAAATGCACAATGATGCTGTAATTTACCAAACAGTTTGATGCCCAGAATGTCACCAATTTCACCTACCTGGGAATTTTCCTACAAATGACTAGTTTACCTGAAAAGAAAACTCGCTCATTGAAATTGCTTTTGTGGGCCCCTTTGAGATTAAATTGAAGAGTCCCAGTGTTGTACCAGCGGATGAGGCGGAAATTGACCAACTATCCGAGAACAAAACACTGCTTAACAGCTTTTTAAATTCGAAATGATTCATTTGAGAAGTTAATGCATAGCAGGATGCCTCCAGAAAAAGAGTTCTAGCAAATAATCAGGTATAGTGTGAGAACAGTATGAAATGAAAATGCTGCTAAAGGAATTTGGTTAAACGTGTTCAGTATAATCACATAAGTTGGGTTTAGTTATTATAACGCTTTAGTTCACCTCATAGCCTGAAATCCTTTGGTACTAAAAATTTTTATGTGATTACAGTATTTACTATTATCGAGTTTATCATTAAAAAGTTTTTAATTACAATGCACACACGCTGTTTATGATGGCCCTGGTATGTACTTTAGAGTCGCGTCCCTCTAATGTGCACTTCTATTAGTTTCTCCGAACATTATTGGAGTGAAACTTTGATGAAATTCTCATTTATGGAGTCAACGTAGTTTTCAAAATATGCCTGAAGCTCAATTCCGGATCACTTCAAGGAATAAAATATTTGTTTGATTTGGATTGTGAGTTTAAATATTGTTCTCGCCTTCATTTCGTTCTACTATTCTTTCCATAGACATTGAGGAAAGTATACAAAACCGTTCTGGAAACATTCGACCACGATTTGATTCACATGGGCGGCGACGAGGTGCGATTCACGTGTTGGAATAATACACCGGAAATATCCGACTTCATGAAATCTATCCGCTTGAATTCCTCCTTCGAGGGATTCTTGACCTTGTGGGGGGATCATTTTCAAAAACCCGCGATGGAACTGGTGGAAGAGTTGAATTTCGGAAAACCTGGAGTGAATAAGACCGACGCCATCTTGTGGACGAATTCCCTGACGGAAGTGAAGACAATTCGAAAATTTCTTCCACCTGAAAAGTATATTATTCAGGTGTGGGATCACAGCACTGGAGAGACTGGAGCAGAATTGATGAAGCTCGGCTACAGGTGAGATTCTTTCACTCATTTTCTCTAGCTTCAACGAATGTCTTCGTATTCTGGAATGTCTTGTTCATGCGTCACCTGATTGACTAAGACAAACCTGACTGAAACGAAGGCTAGTCGAATTTCAAAAAACCTCAGCCAACCTTACAAAATTCAAAATGATGTGCAATTTATAGCCAAACTCAATATTCAGTGATATCTCTTTAACTTCAACTCGGGGTGACCCGAACATAAGTTCGTCTAAGGGCGTTTTTGAGTTCAGGGCAGTAGGATTTTTGCTGGGGAAAATTTGAGCTACGGTTTCATTTCTCTTCGCCCTACCTGATGGATTCGTGAAATAATTGCCAAAAGCTTCTCAAATTGGTGTCTTTTAGTTAAGGAGGTCTGAATTCCATGATTATCGATGAAATTATTGCAACGAAGGATTGAAACAGGTAGCTTTTGAACCTTTGGAGATTAACTTTTCAAGGCTTAATTACTGTATGACACACGTTCTCAACAGTTGCACTGTATTCATTCGAAATAAGGGGGGAATTCGCCGTTTTTCATTTATTTTGACTAAATTCTGCATTTAAGAGCAGTTATAGTTGGTCTCGAAAATAGGATGTATAGAAGTTTTCAATGCGTCATTTGGAGAATGAGTGCGTATATACTTGGTCTAAAATTGATTAAATGTGGCATGCAAAGATTATTCAAAGCAGACATGAAATAATATTCAGGCGACACCCGTTTAAAGTCAAATAAAATCTCATGGTCGTGACAACGGATTCAAAAGGAAAAAAATAAATAAAAAAAGACCATCTTCATAGAATATGTTTCCCCTGAACTCGGTATTCATGAATCTCATACAGTATTTTTCTTCATAGGGTGATCTTTTCAAATTACAACTCACTGTATCTGGACTGCGGGTACGCTTCGTGGCTGGCCAACAAGCCGTTTTGGTGTGCCGATTATCTGCCGTGGTACAAGTTGTACGATTTTGAGCCGAAAGTGGAATCCGGCAAACATAAGGGGGCAAATCTCGGTGCAGAAGCTTGCATGTGGACGGAAACAACGAGTGTGAATGCATTGGAAGCTAAAATTTGGCCAAGGCTCGCGGGACTCGCCGAAAGGCTGTGGACGAACCCAAGTCGTGACTCTTTCTATGCATGGGATAGGGTAAATTTGCAGGCCGAAAGATTGGCACTTCGGGGTGTGAAGGGAGACCAACTGCAGCCAAAGTGGTGCTTGCTGAACCCCGGGGTTTGCTACGATAGCCGTTGAGATTTGGCTTGAAAGAATTTTCATGAAATTAATGTCACTGCAAATAGGAAAATGAAATTTAGAACATTGACGACAGCAAAAAACTTGGGTAAAACTTGGGAAACAGTCTGAATGAGATCTCAGTTTTTCCCGATCGTCAGTGTTTCCAGCTTAATTCTTTAAAATTGGCTGAAGAAATACAGTACTTTCATGAAAATGCACGTTGCAATTCTCCCTCAGCCTGACCGGAATGTTCTCAGAAAAACACTAGAAATTTGAGGTGAGCTGAATGCACAACAAATTCAGCGCCACACGGTGAAATAAAGAATGATAGGTTTGATTGTATCAGCTGTGACTGTAAATATACTTCGCACGAATGAATCTCGTGTTTCTCACATGTGTTCGCTTTATTTATGCAATGAAACAAAAGTATACAATTTTTAGCAGACGTTGTTCTTCAAAAGCTTTCGACAACTCTTTAAATTTATTGAAATTTTGAATCCCCATGAAACATTATCCACAATCATTGTGCTCCACTATCTTGTGTATATAGAAGTATGTTTTTATCGATATGGAGAGAGAGTATTGTACTCCTTTCCTTCTACGCCGTGACGATTATTATGCCTGCATGAATTAGTTGTTGGGATGTTATTGAAACTGAAGTAAAATTTGATCAGCAATCAGTCAAATGCTTTTTTTTTGTGAATTACGCGCACCAATGTGTTGAAAGTTTTCCTAAAAATTGATATAAACTGACTTGACCTGCACCGTCGAGGTTTTGAAGAAAATCTGTCATTTTTATCATTTTTTATTAAATTGGAGATAGTATTCAAATATCAAGAACATTCTTTAAGTCAACCTGAAGAGTACTATACAGTTTAACCTGCTCTCACTCAAACTTGAAGGGAACAGGAAAAATTCAATTCAGAGAGCTCCTGAGTTAAATAGGGAAAAGAAAGAAGAATCTATAGAAATTTTAATTGGTGATATTCTATAAGCCTTAAATTGCTTTTTGAATTAGTTAACAGCCTACCAAACTTGGAGGCAAGTGTTTGTTTACCTAAAAAATTGACTGAAGTAATACAGTACTTTCATGAAAATGCACGTTGCAATTCTCCCTCAGCCTGACCGGAATGTTCTCAGAAAAACACTAGAAATTTGAGGTGAGCTGAATGCACAACAAATTCAGCGCCACACGGTGAAATAAAGAATGATAGGTTTGATTGTATCAGCTGTGACTGTAAATATACTTTGCACGAATGAATCTCGTGTTTCTCACATGTGTTCGCTTTATTTATGCAATGAAACAAAAGTATACAATTTTTAGCAGACGTTGTTCTTCAAAAGCTTTCGACAACTCTTTAAATTTATTGAAATTTGGAATCCCCATGAAACATTATCCACAATCATTGTGCTCCACTATCTTGTGTATATAGAAGTATGTTTTTATCGATATGGAGAGAGAGTATTGTACTCCTTTCCTTCTACGCCATGACGATTATTATGCCTGCATGAATTAGTTGTTGGGATGTTATTGAAACTGAAGTAAAATTTGATCAGCAATCAGTCAAATTCTTTTTTTTGTGAATTACGCGCACCAATGTGTTGAAAGTTTTCCTAAAAATTGATATAAACTGACCTGACCTGCACCGTCGAGGTTTTGAAGAAAATCTGTCATTTTTATCATTTTTTATTAAATTGGAGATAGTATTCAAATATCAAGAACATTCTTTAGGTCAACCTGAAGAGTACTATACAGTTTAACCTGCTCTCACTCAAACTTGAAGGGAACAGGAAAAATTCAATTCAGAGAGCTTTTGAGTTAAATAGGGAAAAGAAAGAAGAATCTATAGAAATTTTAATTGGTGATATTCTATAAGCCTTAAATTGCTTTTTGAATTAGTTAACAGCCTACCAAACTTGGAGGCAAGTGTTTGTTTACCTAATTACTCTTCCACTTCCTTTCTAAACAGATTAATTTTAATTTTTATTTATCTTTCATTCCTGTGTCAAGAAAATAAAAGATAACCTCCAGGTCATTTGAGCTATGAAGTTTTGAAGAGGGAAGCTTCTGAGGAATATAGAGTTTTCTAATGCATTGTTTCTAAAGAAATTTTGGCAATTATTTGAAAAAAAAATTGAGATACAGTACTTCAGCACAGTATACTACTGTATTCGACTTTTGGAGGTTTTGGGTTATTGTGGTTCAACACACACGAGATGCTACTGTGTCTGAACAGTGCACTGTAGCATTCGGGGGACTCTGAGCAACGCATAATTTATTCTTACTTCGAAAGATTTCCCCGTCAAGATTTGAAGTCATGCTACATTTTCTCACTTGATTTGAGTGAACATTTTTCTAAAAATAAAAAAATAAAAAATCCACGGGCACCGCATTCAGCTTGCATCGAGTCGGGAATTGGGTTCGTGGGCGTGTCTCGCGGGTTTCCACATTTCTCGGTCGAATGGGAGCCCAACAGCGGGAAAATATTCACCTCATTTCCTGTCACTCAAGAGAAGAACGCGCTTTTCGCTCTTCCGCTTCCGACAGGGGCGAACATCCTGCGTGCCACCGAAGAAAATACTCGGGGGGCAATTCCGGCTTAATTAGCTCGCCGCTGAACGGAACCCGGGCCAACGGGTGGCTCTTTCGTCTCCGACCCTCGCTGTCACTGGCTTATTGCGGGCCGGTGCTGGTTGTTTGCGAAATAAGAAGAAGTTCCTGAATGCGATGCGAAAGAAACATTTCTACATTCTCCTCGACTTGTTTCTTATTTATTCTTAGCATGACGCTTTAAATGAAGATTAGCTTTCATAACACCGGAAATAGTCTGTACCTGTATTTTTGAACCATCCGAGCTCATCCTGTGTATATATATACAGTACACGATTTGAATCACGCAGTCTCTCAAGTTTTTTTGAACTCTTCGCGTTTAACTGGTGATTTCAGCTTTCTTCTTTAGGAACTTCAATAAATGTCAAGACCAAGCATCTCAGCTGTCAGCATGAATGACGCCTATATAGATGTTTGAGATTTACGAAGAAATTTCGAAACGCAGTACGATCTCTGTGGATTAAATTAGAGGAACACCCATGTCTAGTGTAAAAGGGGAATCATGAACAAAAATCGGAACGAGAAAATTTCAAGAGCCTTCGAAAGAGANTAAATGTCAAGACCAAGCATCTCAGCTGTCAGCATGAATGACGCCTATATAGATGTTTGAGATTTACGAAGAAATTTCGAAACGCAGTACGATCTCTGTGGATTAAATTAGAGGAACACCCATGTCTAGTGTAAAAGGGGAATCATGAACAAAAATCGGAACGAGAAAATTTCAAGAGCCTTCGAAAGAGAGATTACAATTACTGTAGTTTACTCACAGCTTTTGAGTTTTTCTATCAGTATTTTAGTCTGGTGGGGTTTCTATCATATTATTCGTGGTTTACGTTGTTGCCACGGCAGGGTCTGCTTTTACATGCAGCAATATTTGACCCTCAATTTCTGAATGGAAAACTCAAAGGAAGAATTAATAAAAACGAATGTGGCTTAAACTTCTGTTTATTTGTTTCCCGCGGTTTTCTTCTTAAATCTAGAATTATCTGTATTCTGGGGCATGTGGGAAAGGGTACATGGACAAACTGGGAGCGAACAACTGTTTGGTTTTCAGCTTTTATTTATTTTAAAAATGTTAAATTTTCCTCGATCGAGGTTACGCGGACTATCAAGGGTAAATGTCGCCTCAATTGGTGGGAATTATATGATGTTGAAATGGTGGGAATCAATCGCCAAAATCAAAATGGAGTAATGTCCCTCGATCAGTAGATAATTAGCTGCAGTCGTAATTCTTCGATGCATGAGATCGTCATTCGCCAATACGTTTCCGATATATTGGGAAGAGACGTTTAAAACGTCAGTTTTAATTCAGCGTCAGTCGCGAAAGTGCGCTACGTAAGATATTAAATCAGATACAAATGAAAAAGTGGGACGCAGATACGCAGTAACCGAGTCCATCATTCAAACGAGGACGACTTTTAACAAAAGAATTTCCGTAGTACGCACAACTGGCATTCACTAATGAAAGCAAATTTAAGCGAAGAGAAACCCGGGGCGACGGTTGGAAGCGGAACAAAAATCACGCGCTTTTCTCCTCCCATTTCCGCAACCCCGGTACCCATCCCACACACACACCCACATTTGGGTTCACACAACAGCCAGGAATCTGCAGCCACCATCAGCGGCAAGAGAATGGCAAACTGTACCCCGGACATTTGGCGTGGAACATGGCTGCGAAGAGACAAGGCTCCCCTATTTTTCCTCATTAATCCTCATCTCCGTCGCCGGCAGAACTAATTGCCCTCGGAAGTGCTCCCTGGATTCAACACTGCTTCAAGTTCTCAGGTGAGCACCGAAAATCCTTTTTTGTTTTGTTGTGCTCAGGTTACACCTGTATGTTAATTTTTTCTGCGTAATACCGGTAAATATTATTTTGTTCGAATTGGAGTAGGGAAGAGAACAGAACCTCGAGATACGAGTAATTGGGACTAAATCAAGTTCGGTTTGGTTAGGTTCGAATTTTTGAACTTTGTTTCGACCATGTTAGGCTTGTTGAGTTTCGTATGTAGATTTTAATTCCCATTCAAAATCAACTTCTCTCAAAAACGGCAAAGGAGGAACCGAATTATAGCATAAAAGTTTTCTCTGTCAAACCCTAATTAATTCTTTTCATTCTGTGCACACTAAACAATTCTGAATGTAGGCTATTGTACATAGTCTTTTATTGGGCCATTTTTAAACATTCATCAGTTTTATGGCTTTGCACCTCAATACCTTGGGTTTGTAACAAGGAATAAAATGCCCCTGCTCATGTGCATTGAGCATAAATCCAAAATTACCAGAGGTCCATTAAAAATAAGTAACCAGATTTAATATGACTAATTTTTTTCAATATAAAGCCCAGATGTGTGACTGCTGGGCTACACAACTGGGCACGCCCTCTTCCATGTGTGATCTCAAAGAAAATTTCAAATCTTGAATTTCTCCACTGCCCAGGTGTGGCTGGGCACCCTCAGCTAGTGCATGTAATTAGTTTGTTTTATAGCACAAAAATTGCACTGAGCTTTCCTGTTTTGTTTTGGAAATGTCCACCGACATCAACATAACTGCACTTCCTCCGAAACAGACAAACAAGTTGGCGACGATCAGTCTTCGACGTTGCTTTATTGTCGCAGTTCCCGAGCGACATTTTCTCGTCCTCATTTTCCGCAAGTGTCGAGATAACCCACTTGTTCAATGACGTACAAGGTTGGCGAACCGGGGATGAGAAGGAACAGGAAAAAATTGCGATTCTGAACTGCTAGAAAAAATAAATTATTTTTCCTGCCTCGCTTTGCTTGGAA